CATCGAAGGCCACATGGATGCGCAAGATCTGTGGCCCATGTCACTTCAGGGGGCCATAGGAACGATGTGTGATGTAATCAGAGGGCTATGCTGAGATGACCCTGCCTGTTACTGGCCCTAGGATAGCTGATCCTGCCCCTCTCTGGACACCGCAGCAAGAGAGCTGGCCCTGACCCTCATGGGAAAGATCCCTCCCTTGACATTTGGTAGAGGTGACCCTATCCCTCACCATTGGCTGAGGAAAGCTGACCCTGATGGCATGGGCATAGGGGAGCTGGCTCTGCCCCTCACTGTAGGGGGGCAACCCCAGTGACCTGAACTGACCAGTTCAACTATACCACCCAGGCCCACAGCAGGTACTGGGCTTGGACTACCCTGACATCTACCCCATCTAGGACCTGCTGGAGCTCATGAAGGGACTGGTCCTATGGAACAATATCTGCAGAATCTCCATGACTCAGGAAGGCCATGGGATGCCCCAGGGGATCCAGTGATGACGGTGTACCAGAAACCAGAGGCCATGAACCAGACCAATGACTCACTGCAATGGACATTTGCAAATAAAGCTGATTGGACAAAAGGATATACTGTGTGACACATTGTGACTCTCAATACCACTAGGACAAATAAAGAGGTGTTGGAGTGGAGGGGGCAAAAGAGATTTTTCTTGTTTTGTCTTAATTCTCCTTTTTAGTTTTTCTCTTTGTGTTTGTTTTGTTTTGATTTTTATCTTCATTTGGGGGGAGCACTGCAGAGCAAGGGGAGGATATGGAGGGACTGGGAGGTGAGCAGAATTGGGGTTCATGATGTGAAATCTCCAAAGATTCAATAAAGAAATTATGCTTTTTTAATAAAAAAGACAAGAAAAAATGTTTCTCAGTGTGTACAGCAAAGAGAAGCCTTACACATGGGTACTGGGAAGGTAAAGTAGATCAGCAGTAAATTAGAAACCAGTAAGAAAGTTTTCTGAAAATTGAAAGTGTGAACACGATGTGACCCAGTGATTTAATAACTAGAAAACCTAAGGAAATTAAATCAGTATTTTGAAGAGATATTTGCATTCTCATGTTCATGTACCATTATTCTCTGCTGAAAATTAATGCAAAATATTCTACTTAATTTATTAACAGATCCATGAGCTTAGTGAATTGTTTACAGCTGTGAAAATCAATAATTGGTTTTGTGTCACTGAAACAGGGTAAAAAGTGATTATGTATTCTCATTGTATATAAAGTAGTATGCAATCATAGATTGATTTACCAATTTCATTAGGACAGAAGCTACACAAGAATGGAGACTTCTAGCTTTTCCACTTTTAAATGGATGAATAAATCATACCACACACTTTCCTTCATGCAATTTACAAATAACAAAACATGCTGATACAATTCTAAATTTCTATTAAAAAATTAAAAATTTCAAAAATAATAGGGCAGTTTTAAAGATGGAATGAAGATTTTTTAAGTGTGTGTTTGGGTTGAAAATATATAACATATAATATGTAATGTAGAACAAGGGTTTCCACATAAGATGGACTTGAAGAGTATAGGCTTTCACTCAACTCTCCTCAAATTGGAGCCCAAGTAGACAGCATGCAAATTAGATAGTCATTTCCCGTCTATACAGAATGGGGCATTTTCTTCAGTCTATATGCACTCATCGTACAAGTGGCCTGTAATTTGCCCCAGGATGGGGAATGTGGATAATGGCAGCATTGCCTATCAGAACTTCTCCTTTCTATGAGAAACTCCTTAGCCTGGAAATATTTTAGATGTAAGTCCAAGGAAATCTGGTGTGCAGAGTAGAGGGAAGGAAGGAAGTCATGGTCTGCAGAAGTCCTATGATAGGTCCAGAAATGAACTCTGTCCTCAGCATCATGATAATCAGGGTTTGTTAATGGGAGTGACACTGATACAAACAAGGAATATTTTCTATAAAATTATTAGAAACGATGCATGTACCTTGTGACTAACAAAGTTCAAGCATATAATTCAATAGCTTGTTAGGACATTGGAAGAGTCATACAATCATGATGGTATTCTAATTTTAAAATGTTTCCATTGTCCGCCAAAGCAATGTCATGCTCCTTATCAATTATTATTCATCTCCCTTGGTCTTTAAGGCCATGATAACCACTAATGTGCCCTTTGCCTATATAGATTTACTTAATTGATATATTTAGAATAAATTGAATTACAGAATGTGGTCCTTTGCTTTTGGTTCCTTTTCACTTACTATAAAAAATGTTGATGGTTTCAAAGACAGCTGACTGGCAAGGGGGAGCTCTTGAACCCCAGACTGATGGCTGAGAGGCCAACAGTCCAGACTCCATGAATGTAGTATCAGTGAGGAGGCCTCAGAAATCTCTGTGGCCTTGGGTAGTAGATCAGTGTTTACCATGGTGTACGAATGAACTTTGGGAGCCCATTCCACATGGAGGGATGCTCTCTCATTCTGGACACATGGGGAAGGGCCTAGGTCCTGCCCTGGATGAAATGACAGACTCTGGAGATCCCCCCCAAGGAGGGCCTTACCCTCCCTGGGGAATGATGTGGGGATTGTGCTGGGGGCTGGAGGGGGGCTGGTGGAGGGAGAAGGGAGGAGGGATGGGAGAGGGAGCTGGAATTGACGTGTGAAGCATTAATGCTGCTAATTTAAATAAAACATATATTGAGGGAAAAAATTTAGACATACTTCTCACAAACTAAAAAAATGTTGATGGCTCATCCTTGTACATGATCATATTTCCCATTCCCCCCAACTTCTTGTATCTGCATCTCCTCAATACATCCTTCCCAACTTCCCATTCTCCTCCGTTTTTTTGTGTAATGGTGTTAAGTTACAGAAATTCAAGCAGATAAGGCATGCACATTCTTATATGTTTTTTGTCCAAGATCGTTTTTCTATGCAGATATCCAGCTATATCAACACTATTTATAGAAAAATAATTCTGTGTCAATTTTATGTATATGGTTTATGCATGGACATGTGCACGTACGTGTGTGGAAGCCTGTGGAGGCCAGAGGGCAACTCATGATGATGATATTTCCTCTATTGCTCTGCACCTTGTCTTCTGAGACAGAGTCTCTTCAGTGGACCTGAAACTCACTGATTTGGCTAGAGGCAGGCTGGCCTGTGACCTGTAGAGATCTGCATGTCCACCTCTCAGCACTGGGGATTTAGACATGTCCCATCATACCCTGGGTTTATACTGATGGTGGGATCTGAACTCAGGTACTCATGCGTACAAGCACATTACCTACCAAGTCATATCCTCTCCCCACCCTTTGATTTGACTTGGGTGCCCTTATTGAAACATTACTACAATTTTGGAGGTTTATTTGTAATCTTCTTTATTTCCATTTACTTGTATGTATGTCCCTGTGTTTATAAATAACTGTCCCCTTTGCTGCTGATTTGCAATAAGTTTTGAAATTTGGATGTCTACATCTTCTACTTAGTTTTCTTTAAAGCTGGTTTTAGCCATTCTGACTCCTGTGCAATTCTGTATGAATTTTAGATTATACTGTAATTTAGGCAAATAAATCAGTATGAATTTTCATAAGAATTATGTTGAATTTATAAGCCAGTTTGAGGTATATAATTATTTTATAAACTACGAGTACACAGGTATTTTCCTGTTTAGAGCTTCCCCTTTTATAAATATTTTTTTGTTTTTAATGAAAAAGTCTTGCATTTTTGTAAATAAATTTCTAAGTATGTTGTTCTTTTCTGCACTACAGTTAATAGAATTCCCCCCTTAACCCATTTATTTTGTAGTTAGACTCTATTCACAATAATTGTACACATTTCTTGGAATACAGCATGGTATTTCTATATATTAACAGTCTATAGTTCCGATGAGGTAACTGGCATAGCAAAACAGTCAGGAATTGTTTGATTTCATTTTCAGATTTCTCCTTTGATTCTATATATCGCTATAATTTGAATGTGCTTCCAAAAAGGATGCCTTCAAACTTAATCCTTACTGTAACAGAGATATGAGCCTCTGCCCTCAAGACTATATTGCTACTCATTATAAAAGGACTTAAGCTCTGATTTTGATCTCAATTTCTCTCACCTTCTCCTGTCATAAGGTACGGAAAAAAGCCCTCACCAGGACCTGGACCCTTCATCTTGGATTTTTAAGCCTCTAGAACTATAATCTAGTACCTTTTAATTTACTATAAATTATCCAGTCTCAGATATATTGTTATAGTAGCTCAAAATGAGCCATGAGATATATCAACCTTGCATCTGAAAACTGTATTTGGATAGCTGTGATTAATATATGACAAACAAAAATATATTTAGGATATAAAATTGTCACTCTTCCTGGGTATATTTGTGACATACAAGTGCTTCCAAACTTTAATGTTAAACATATGAATCTCCCAGGAATTTAATTAAATTAGACTGTTGTCACAGGCTTTGAGATGAGACCTGGAATTCTCCCTTTCTAATAATGCCTCAGTATATACCTAGGAGCTTTTATTGTTTTCAAATTAAAACTTATTTCAGATTCTAATACCTACACTGTATTATTTTCCCCATTTTACAGATACGGGAGGGTGGGGCAGTGGAAGGGAGGCTATGATGTTTGTGCCACTACTGCACCTGTTGGATTGTTTTGCCAGGCCAGTTGTTATTGTAGCTTGTAGGATTCGCATCTGGGCATCGGTGATTATTTTTATCCTTCAGCAGCAGCAGCAGCAGCAGCAGCAGCAGCAGCAGCAGCAGCAGCAGCAAGAATAGATGTCTAAAAGCTATTTCCCTAAGAAGGCTATGGCAGCCCCTGTTGTTTTACTGGTGATAATGAATGGCGCAGTATTTATACCATCCTTAAGGTATCAAGCTATAAGTTTAAGAGTCTGGATAAGGCTCTGGCCATATAGCTGCACAGGGAAGACTACAGACAAGTAACCATATTCGTTTCTACTATTTTTCATCAGATTATTAGAGGATTTATATTCCATAAGCAAAACACAAGAGACAATTCCTGTTGTCCTTAGCACCTTTTATTGAAGTAAGACCCTTGATGACAATATGGCAGGCATATCATTGCCAGCCAAGAGGGGTGTGGTGGAGGACAGACATGCAGACAGAAACAGTAAGATTCAGAAAAACAATAGCATTACATGGGATAGACAACTCCCCAAAATTGTACAGCAAATACTGATTCCTTATCTATATACACTGCCCCATGCCCCACCCCCTTCTAAGGATTCAATCTTCAAATAATACAATGTTCTGCCACAGAATTATTATTGGCCTACACAGCTCCTCTGGCAGTGAGAGGGAGCTGCCAAGTTCCACATGGGTAGAGGTAGCCAGAAACACACCCAACTTCTTCTATCTGAGGCTTGCTACTATAAAAGCAGCACCTTCAGGGAGGCTGCAGTTGAAGATGTAGTTCTGGTACCCCCTAGGCAGCCTTTTTTGGCACACGAGGTTAAGTGGCAAACAGAAATATGAGCCCAATCTTGAAAGAGGTTTTTAAATGTTTTTTACTCTCTTTCTCTTCCCATGCATCCACCTTCTCCCGGTTTAGGGCTTTAATTCCAGTATATCTGTCTCACTCTCTTAGATTCTACTTGGGTATTTACTTCTAGATCTCATCTGAGGTTTCAGTCATGGGACTTGCCCTGGGGATGGGGGAGGATAGGTGTGTGCTAGTAATATTGCACTGACTCCCTTCCATCCACCACCCTGCTTTCCTATTATCCAGTGAGGTTGATGTAAGTATTTGCAGGGAAAGAGTGGAAGACAAGTCACCTTTGGGTGGGGGTTGCCAATCTTTTGACCTACTTTCACACTGCTATCTTCTCGGGCCTTGGAAGACGGCTGATCCCAGAAACCAAGACCAGAAAGAGATATCCCATGCCAAGTAGTACTGGCACTTTGCAGCGATATTCCCCACTGTGGAAATGCCACAGCAGTAGTAGGGCATGCCAGTGTTAGTTTAGTCTATTGAGCTTTGCCACTCAGTATATTTTTGAGGTTATCTTCCAAATACTCTCTGTATTCTGAATCCAACTCTACAAACTATTTTGAGGTGGGATGAGTAACAAAAAACAAGAATTAAGGCTGTGGCTGTAGTCAATGATACAGCACTTGCCCAGTATACATAAGGCCTTGGTTCCACCTCCAACAATGCTAAAACAACAAACAAACACAAACCACAGTTAATAGTATTTTTGGTATCATATACTTAAGGTATAATAAACATAACAGAGGCTACAAATACCCTATGGCCATGATATCCAGCACAGTGACTGGTCCTTGCTCTACTATAACCAAACATATCTTCAAATGATAAAACACATAACTCTCACACATCTTCAAAAGATACATATCACATAACTTTCATCATCCTAGTATAAGACATTTGAACTTTGATTGTCCTAGGGCCCATTGTTAAAAGAAGGTAAGGCAAGTGTGTCCTTTATTCATAGCATTTGCTTACCTCTCCCAGTTTTCCTTTGGGTAAGCTTGTAGCCATCCTGAATAGAATAGCACGGAACAGAACAGAACAGTGTCACACAGAACACCACTGGACAGCCATGCACAGCACAGCACTGCACAACATTGCACAGCACCGCACAGCATAGCATAAAATAGCGGCTACAGAGCTTCATACTCAGTATAGATTTGGGGTTATATCTAAGATAAATTGCAGTCTTCCACTTGAGGGGAGAATGGCAGTACTGACACAGTAACAGTGGTTATTACAGAGGCAGCAGTACTATAAAAAGCATACCCAGAAACCCACGGAAAAGGTTGCCACCTCTTTAGAATATCCTGCTGGCCAAGATCCTCCCAAAGGTCTGACACGGGGTGGAGATAATGGAAGATAGTGACCAGTATTTGTAGCAGCAGTGAAGTTCCTTTGTAAATTCTTTGGTTCAATGAGGTAACACTGCAGCTACAATGAACCTCAGGACCCTGAGGAAGTCAGCAGTAACGTGTAGCAATGCCAGGGCTTGGTTCCTTTGGGCTTCTGTTGTATTGTTAGGGGAGAACATAAGACTGAGCTAGAAAAAAGGACACTTTGGCGGTAATTTCCCTCTTGCCCTCCTAAATGTTTTTCCAAGACAAAAGCTAGCTACCAATGTCAGGTCTTGGCAAATGCAACAGCTCTAGTTCTTTGTACATTAATCTCTGTGGTTTCACCTTCCATAGCTTCAGTTCTCATGATCAGCCATGGTTTGGAAATACTAAATATGATATTATAGAGTAAAAAGAAGGGATAAAGTTTTAAATTATGTGCCATTCTGAGTAGTGTGATAAAATTTGCTCCATTCCACATGGATCATGAATCATCTATTTATCCAGTGTATCCATGCTATATAGGCTACCTCTCTTTAGTCACTTATTAGTCCCTTCAGTGATAAGATTAACAATTGTGGTATATACAGGCTTTAGAACTATCCAAGATCTAGGCATCCACCAGAGGGGACGCTTTAGTACTTAGGCCCAGAAGATAAGATGGGATACTGTTGTCTAGATCCTGCATGGATCCTAATATTTTCTGGAGCCTGGCCCTGGCTAAAAACACTCTCATAGTTTTGCTTCCTTGAGGCTAGCCGCTGAGAAAGCACCCTCACCTTCATGCATCCATGCATCCTAAAGTTGTCAGTTTTAGGACAGTACTCTGGTTAGAAAACAGTGACCTCTACTAAGGAAGCAAATAGTCAAGCTATGGTAGGGAGGCTATGAGTTCAAGAGGAGAACTTTCTTAGATACTTGAAGCTATGGTAGGAAGAATTCAATGCCTTGGCACTTGCTTACCCAGCCAGGGTGGACTCAGGTTTTCCTTCTGGCTAACTTCCCCTTCTCTAACTTATTTCTTCCTGCCTCATTAGGTAAAAAAGAAAACATAAAAATAAATAAAATCAAAGACCATTTACAATATAATAAGAACCCTCTCCCCCAATAATGGAACTATATCCAGAAGTCGGCTGCAATTGAAACATTAGAGGTTCAGAGAGGGAAGCCCTGGCAGATGACTCCTGGTGATATCAGGGCAAGATACAATTAAAGTAGCGGTCCATCATGTTAAGACAGGAAGGCCACAGCAACAACACTGTCAACTAGCTGTCAGGAAGGGTAGACATGGAACCACTTCATTTATGCCTGGGTTTTACTGGAGGGGAGGATGAATCCGTGGGTATACCCAACATTTGCTCCCCTTCTACGCCATTTTTCCTTTTGTGCCTCCTGCTGCGAAGTTTGGGTGAGGGCCTGAAGCTGGTGTCAGGTGAATGCATTCAAGTCAAGCCAATGTGCGTGGACAATGGCTAAGCTAGGTCACTAGCCCTAGAGAAGAGGGAAATTGCACAGGCAGTTTTGCTGTGAACATGAAGAGGATAGTGTGGCAAGGGAACATAATGAGTTTGGGGCATCTTTGGTGTCCTAGTACAGAGATGAAGGCACTTTATCATTTCTATGGGCAGTGAGTGGTTCCCACTCACAGAGAAAGAACATGGTACAACCACACCTTGCTGCAGCTCTGCAAGGTAGAAGCCTGGGGTCTTCCCAGGCTCTCCTCCATGGCTGGCACCATCTGCTAAGTAATTTCTATACACTTGGCTAGCAAACTGCTACTAAAGGTTGAAAACACTTTCCATTGTGGGTAGGCAGGGGTGCAGCGGCACTGGCAGATTTAGAAATTGTTGGGCCCCAAGTGCAGGCTCTCTTTGAGGCATCTAAGCTGCTCTTCCCCAAGTTTAATCTTCTCCTCCAACTCTCTCTGTTCAATGATGAGAGCAGATTTCATCTTCACAAAGTGCTGGTAATCTTGGAGCTGGTCCTGAGGCAGGTATCGGGAGACCATGCTGAACACCAGCTTCTCCCTGCGGTCCACGTGCTCCTTCAGCTCCTTGGCATCTGCCAACTGACTTGTCAGCTGCTGCTTCTTCTCCATCAGCACCAACTGGGAAAGCAGAGGACCAATTAGAGACCATGCCAATCCCCAGGCATCTGCACAGCAGTCTTTCACTAAGGAAGCAGCTACAGAGCGGCTATACATTCTGCTAATTAACCAGCCCTAGATTTCTTGCTCCCCATACACATTAACACTCAAATCTCCCTTGTCTGTAGCTGGCAAAAGACAAGCATGACAGCAGTTTTGGATCGGGAGTGTGCAATCACACCTCTCCATCTCTAAGGCTGCCTTTAAACCATGAACGACCACTTGGTTTGGCATCAAGGAAGCCTTTCTCACAAAACCAATCTAAGTCCCTTCTGTTTGCTGGACAAACATCACTGTGGTGCTGCTTCCTGTATGGCGTCGTCTCTGTGTGAGTGGACATGCATGGGGGTGTGCAGTTGTGTGTGTGCACATGTGTGGAACTCCTTCCGTGGATCAGAGTTACTTGTGTAGGGGAGGGTAATGGAGTCTAATTCAAATATTATCACAGAATGAAACAACCTATAAAACGGAGGGCCTCTTTTCAAGTCCAAGGGATCAGGGACAATTTGCTACTGCTGTTCCTGTCCCTGCTGCTGTTTCTGCTTCTGCTACCACCCCCACCCCTATCACTGCCATCGCCATCAGTCACCACCACTAACAGCTAGCACTGCTCTGTTTTGAACACTGTTTTATGCAATTAACTTGGATTATCTCAACCATTACTGAAACCCCAATGGAACAGGTTGCACGCTTATTTCATTTTATAAATGAAGCAACTAAGACAGAGGAAGGCTAAGTAAGCTGCTTATAGTCACACAGCTAATGTGCAGAACAAAACTGTCAGGGCACTAAAAAGCCAGTGCTCACACTCTCAATGCTGTTTTCTGTCTCTGAAAAGGAAAGAGGCATTTCTTTCATCTACACCCTCAGGGACAACATCTGTACCTTCTCCTGGTTGGTCTCTGAATCGATGCTGTTGAGAGCATTCTCTACCCGGGCCAGTCGTCCAGACAGTGACAGCAACAGGTTGACCACTTTGTCCAGATCCCCAATAAACAAGTGATACTTTTCAAGCTCATTGGATTTGCAAACAGCTTTTAAGTTGGCCTCTACCTCCTCTCCAAGGGCAGAATTGGCATTGATGTCATCCAGTAGCCCTCTCTGGGCCTCCCTCAGGACAGAAAGTTTCCGACCAATGCTTTCAATGAGCTGAATCTAAGAGAGTGAAACAGAAGACAAAGGATGAACATGGACTTCAATAGAAACAGATTTGGGCTTAGCAGAGCACATGCCTGTATCCTGGCACTGGAAAGGTAAAGGCAAGAGGATTACAACCTGGCTTACATACTGAGACCTTGTCTAAAGAACCAGACTAGAAATAGAAGGTAGAGGGAAGGAGGGATAGAGGAAGGAAAGACAAGAAGGAGAGATATAGAATGAAACCTGAGCAAGTGCTAAGCAATTCCAGTTTTCTGAGTAGGTACCTTCCCTCTCTGTTTGGTAGGAATTTCCACGTTACCACCAAAGTTCTTGGTATTCAATAAGTGGTACCCACGGCCCAAGCTACATTTGCAAAATGCAACTGAGACTATAATAAATGGGGACTACGGAGCTCCTGAGACCCTAAATTGGAAAGAATTGTCATCAGATATTTGCTAATCACTTCATACGTTTTCCTTTGGGGCTGATGATAGTGTGCTTGGTCCTTTGAGGCCTTTGGATGAGAATAAAAATTCTGCAGTCACAATGACTATGTTTAACTTCTTGCTCTGCCAATTTCTATCTGCAGGACCTTGAATGATTTGACTTAATTGAGCTTTACTTTCTCTCTTTGTAGAAGAATTATAGGTAAGTGTTGTGTTCATTACGCTCAGTGGTAACGATTCAATAATAATTAAAAAGACTTAGCACAGAAATTGTTCAATAAAAAGTAGTCCACTGTTATTACTACTGGTCAAAATGACCCATTACTCTACTCTTCAGAACCATTCAGGTTTAGCTCTCCACTCCACTATAATCACAACCCTTATTCTTGACTTCCTGAATTGATTCTGCAGTCTTACTTGCTCAGTTTCTCTATACTGGGGCTATTCTTGTTATTTCTCCAAGGTCCAGCGTTGCTCCCAGCCTTCTTATAGGAAAACCCCTTCTAGAAGTCTTTTCTTAGTGCTTTTTTTTCTTTTTGGAGCTTTGAAGTATTTTACTCCTAAGGGTATAGTTCAGAAGTAGAATGCTTCCCCAGCATGCATAAGGTATTGACTTCCATGCCTAGAGTTTGCAAACAAGCAAACTGAAAACCACAAACAAAAGAAAACAAAACTTCTAGAATCAGAACTTCACAGTGTGTGGTGGTGTGAATAGGAATGCCCCCCATAGACTCATATTTGAATGCTTGCTCATTAGGGAGTGGCACTACTTGAGAGGGATTTGGAGGTGTGGCCTCTTGAAGGAAGTGTATCCACGGGGTGGGCTTTGAGGTTTCAAAAACTCACACCAAGCTCAGTGCCTCTCTCTTCCTGCTGCTTATGGATCCAGATGTAGACTATCAGCGGCAATGTCTGCCTGTGTGCAGCAATACTCCCCACCATGATGATAATGGACTAAACCTCTGAAACTGTAAACAAGTCTCAATTCAATGCTGTGGTCATGGTGTCTCTTTACAGCAATAGAACTTTAACTAAGACATAGCATAATTTTATTTTTTTATAATTCTATTTTATGTGTGTGAGTCTAATTGTTCACGGTTTATTATAAGTTTCTCAAGGGAAGTACTGCCTATGTGGTAGGTTTTATTTTTTGTATCAATCTAAATGAATAAGAGAAGAACAATTAACTTTGACGCACAGTCTCAGAAGTTTCAGTTCATTGTGGCAACCAGGAGCACAGAGTGTGAGAGAGCCTGTACTATAGGTATTCCCATCCTCACCCCTTTATTATATGTGGGTCCCCAATCTATATGATGGTGCCATTTGCATTCTGGCTGTATCTGGACAGGCTCTGCAGTCTCTAGTCACCTAACAATCTGATCATCTTGACGAGACTAAGTGCCATGGTCTATTCTTCCAATTTATAGCAGTAATCAGTTGTGTGCCTACACTCACAAGGAAAGCAATGGGGTAGAGTGGAATTTTGGAGCCATACAAACACCTGGATAGCAATCATGTCTTCTACAAACTCTGAAACTTTGGATACAAATAATTTACTTCTTCATCTATAAACTAGAGCATTCTACCTTTGCCCAGGGTGCTGTGGCAATTTATAGTAATATGATCGCAGAAGCAAACTATTTGCTGCTGTATCTGAGACAGTAAGTGCCCAATGCACATTTATTTGTGTTATCATCATCATAAACATTATTATTACTATATTTTGGCTTTTGAGACAGGGTTTCTCTGTGTATCTCTGGCTGTTCTGGAACTATCTCTGTAGACCAGGCTGGCCTTGAACTCACAGAGATTTGCCTGCTTCTGCCTCCTGAGTGCTGGAATTAAAAGCCTGTGGCACCAACGCCCAGCTATTATTACTATTATTATAAGGAATTCAGGAAAACATGTCTAGTAGCTGGAGGGATGTGTCAGTGGTTGAAATGCATGCATGTAAGTATGGGGATCAAAAGAAGCCAAGCACAGCAGAATATATCTGTAACCCCAGCATTGGGGGATGATAGAAGAAGAAGGATCCCCAGAGTTTAGTGAGAGCAACAACCTGAAAAAGAATAAGGTAAGAAGCAATTGAAAAAGCAACCCAGTGTTGACTTTCAGCCTTCACACACACATGCATACATATATGTGTGTACACATATACATCCTGGTACAGATATATACCAGAGTGAGTGAGTGTTAGCTAGGAAGCAAGAGAGAGTGAGAGCAAGCAGGTGAGCAAAAGACAGAGAGAGAGCACCTCACTTAGCTAGCAAGTTCTGAACGCCATGATGCTATTCTAGGATGCCTACAGCTTTTGTAGCCAGTTTTGCATTGTGGTTAAGATCATGGACTCTGGCAACATACTGTTTTGACTGTCAAATCTGCCACAAAGTAGTGGTCTGACCTGTTACACATTATTCAACCTCTGTGTGCTTCAACTTTTCTACAGGAAAAAATGTAGGATAACAATAGCACTCATATCCCAGAGCGGTTATGAGAATTAAATGAACTAATAACAGTTTCTTGAAGTAAGCTCCATTCAGTGTTTGATTTATTATTCTAGTTTAGGATTCTGGGATGTTAGGTTTGGGGTATTCCTTTCTAACAGTTCATTTGGTAACGTTGAAGGTGACCAAGACAAAGAGGTTCCAAAGCCTGTTGTCAGGAGAAGTCAGGAAATCATCGTTTGTTCTTGGAAGTGTAGGGAAAAATCACCAAATCTGCCGAGGGATATGACTTAGGAAACATAACTAGGACTCAGACCATTCTCTGTTGTTTTGTCACCTTCCACTCTCTCATACAACAGTCAATGTTAGTGTCAAAGAATGGCCCACTTGGATTTTCACTTACTCACCCAGGAAGCCAACCTCCGGGGACCGAGGGAGAAATGAAAACAGAGGAGCACTTGACTTCCCAGTACCTGGGCTCTGTAACCTGAACCTTTTGCTTGGGGAAGGTATGCACTGTGTGAAGCTGGCAAGTCATCACAGGCTGAGCCAGAGCTGAGCTGTTTTTCTGGAACACTGCAAATTGATGACCTTCCTTTTCTTTTTCCCGTACGCACAAACACTGCCCTGCCCCACCTGTAGTCATCGCAAATCACTCTCTGTTATTCTGTTCTTGGCCATTTCCAGTCATCTCTCTTCCCCTAGCTAGACTTTCATTATGTTTGTCCCTGGAAAGGCCAGGCCTTGAATAAGCAAGGAGCAACTCTGCCATGTTCAAGAAACATAGAATCCAAGGAAGAGCATCTGGATCAATACAATTTGACACTTCCATGGTCCAATTATTTCCCTGACATTTTGCTTCATATGGGAAATTGAAAGGAGGGCTTCTGAAAATGGTCTTATGTTTTCCTACAGGTCATGTCCTGAAAGAGAAATATGGGCAGATGAGCAATTTACATTGTGTTCATATGTCCACAAAATGGTAAATTGGGCCTTTGAGGTTGCTATGACAACTCTATTTGCTTATGAAATAAAAGAGGTAAGTGCAAGGGGGTAAAATGATTCCAGGAACTTGATTAAAAAACTAGGCTACTGGTACTTAGAGGAAGAAAGGGAGGCTTGGAACAACAACAACAACATCCCCATTTACCTATTTTGTATTTTCAAGAGATAATTGACCATCACTGCAAATAAATAATAGTCTGCCAGCCTATAATTTCCCCTTAGTCAGTCTGTTCTCTCTCCCAGAAACTTACAGAGAATACAAATTAATGACACTGCCATTGGCCAGAGCTCTGATGTGCCTCAGGCAGTGAGTTAGATTGCTTAATTTCAAAGGACAGTATGGGAGAGCAGAAATCCAGTCCTGCTTTCCAGTCCAGGACCCATTATTTAGTATGTCACCTTGGAAAAGGTAGTTCCTTTAACTGGTTAAAAAAAGTGGGGGCGGTAGTAACACTTACCTTGCAGGACTAGGGCTGTAACTCAGCGGTAAAACGCTGGCCTGGCAAGTGCCAGGCTCTGGCTTCAGCCCTAGCCCTGCTAAAGAAAGACAGTGTGTGGGCAGGGGAGAGGGAGGCTGGCTGGGGATGCGGCTCAGTGCAAAGGGCTTCTCTAACACACACTAAGCCCCACTTCTGATCAATACTATGAAAACTTCGACTGAGACTCTTTCCCGTTGAGCATTTAGAGCAACAGCAAATCACCAGTGCAGCACACAGAAGGCCGCGGGTTCAACCTCCAGTGACAGCAGACAGACGGATGGACGGACGGACGGGGACACACAGACACACACATGCGCGCGCACACACGCGCACACACACACACACACACACACACACACACATTCCTACAGCGGCATGGTTCTAAGGATTAGAGAGATGATGATTTGTGCTCCTACAACTGGAGAAGAGACTGAGGACAGGTTGCTTGATTCCCACACTGCGCCACGGGAACGAAAGACAAGCTAGATGGTGTGGAATGGCTAGTCGTCCTTCAGACACTTAGCTAAAGGCTGAAAATCTCTGCAACGTACCAAAGCCTTACCTTTTTTTGAGCCAGTTCATAGTCAACTCCCTCCTCTCCCAGGCCTGCCTCTGCCATCTCAGGCTGCTCTTTTAGCTTATTCAGCAGTTCTGCCTTGGCCACAGAGATATTATAATACGCTGAGTAAGAGGTAGGGATTCCTGGGGCCCCTGGAGGAGGTGAGAAGTGCTGAAACTCTTGTCTGTGGAAACAAAAGGTGACAGTTTGAGCACTTTTGTTGAGAGACCACTGATGCTTCTCTTTCCTTGGTTTTCTCTACCTATAACACGACAACACTTTCCCTGGCTATTATAAAATGACCCAGAAGGCACTGTTCAAACATGACCAGGTCACATGGAGTCTATCTAAAAGTCAAGACCAACTTTAAGAATGTAGAAGTCTATTTCCTTGTCCATCTATGTCCCAGCCCTTGTTAGCTCATAGGACTTTTTATCATTTGGCTCAGTCATTAACACCCTATTAAAACATAGAAGAACTTTCAAGACCTCATTCTGATAATAAATGATTCTCCTTAGTTCATGGCCTTCTGGAAGGGACTGAGCAGCAGAGAAAGAAATATGTTCCTCCAAGCCTGGGAACCTCTCCTCTATCTAAGCACAGGCCCTACTTAGCCCATCTGCTTGCTTACAAAGGTACCTGTGGTTTTCCTCATGCTCTTTTAGTTTATCCTGATGCCACTCCTACTTGAAATGGCCACTCCAATGTACATGTCCCATAACAAAGAGGTCACCTGCGACCTCAACCATGATCACCATTTTGAAGGCCGGGATTAACATCCCTGCTAAGAACTTGTCACAGACCACCACATCTCTCATGAGTTCTTCTGACACTGCTTCTTGTACGGCATCCCTTTGGCCTGAGAACAGACAGCATCTCTCCACGTCCAGAATACTCCTACTAGTCCCAGCCTCCTGCATGGTTGCAGAATGAAATAGAGGATGAAACCAGTGACACACAGGGGCTTGACAAGAATAGCAGCAGACCCTGTTGCCTTGGGTTCAATGAAGCCTGGCTGGATGTGAACAATTCTGCCAAGAGTTTGTCCAGGGCTTATTTATGCAAGGGCAAAACGTCCATTCTCACTGTATGTATGTATGTATATGTATGTATTTATGTATGTATATATACACACATATAGTGTTATGTATGCATGTATGTATGTATGTATATATATATATATATATATATATATAATTCCCTTTGTCTAGCAGCTACTCTTACCACCCACCTGTCTGTGTCGCCAGCCCTTTCTAACCTCTAGCTGTTTCAAAGAGAAAACAGGAGAAACTCATTAGTCATTTTTGAAGCTATTTGTAGCTCTTAGATAAAGGTCAAATATAATAGCTAAAAAGGCTCCACAGCTATTTACTGATTCATGCTCTGCTGTCTCTTAATTCATCATACAAAGGCAACCGGGGCATGCCAATAATCCTCATTCTAGAGACATTTATTTTACACAGTGTTTCAAGCTTACAACTATAATATTAATATATACACAGTGTTTGCTATACACCACAAACTGTCCCAAGACAGGTAACACACATGTGCACAGCACACACATGTGCAATCATGAATACTCACAACTGAATGCTCATCATGACCACTTTACAGACAGGAAACATGAAGAACCAAGAGGTAAAATTATATTCCCCAGATCACCAGTCAGTAAACTACACACCAATGATATCTTCTTTGGCAACCTGACTCCACATCTGTGCTTTTATCCTTTATATGATAGTAACAAATGAACAACTTGCTACTCTACAAACCCCTACTTGTAAGGAACTTTCAAGCTGGACTCTGTCTTTGCTATCAGAGGAGAGAAAATATTATGGAGGGAATACAAAGAAATGAACTTTAAGAACTCCTATTTATAAGAATTTATGCTACACATCACTGTTCTGAGTCAGAAACTGTAACAATCAAAAATCATGACCTACATGGAGAGTCAGTTCCTCAGCAGATACGGTCTTGCATCATGTTATGTAGAACATATTGAGCACTGTGCTCTGGGGTTCTTTTCCTCATTACTCTCATGAACAGGGAATTCATTACAAGAAATCTATAGGAACCTAATCTGAATTTGAAAGTAAACATTAAATGTAAGATCAGAACCTTCCACTGAGCACTGAGAGAACATCCTTAGAGTTTGCAAAGCAAACAAGATCTACACTGGCATCTGTTATTAGCCTGGAGCAACGTCTGACAATTTCCATGACTTCCTCCTATATGTGTTATGGAAATTGTAACTAAAAAGTAAAAGTGTGGTAAAGATGCTGTGGCTTGGCATGGCTGCAATTTTGATGTCTTTATTTGCTTTTCACATTGAAAACTGTACATGTCTACTGGTTTTTAACACTATCTAACTTGTACTTTCCCAGGGTCTGAAGAGGACCTTCTTCAGGTCCCAAGATACTGAAATGACACTGTGGGCAATGACACTGTTGGACTACCTGAGTTATGGTTCCCTGTGAGCTTGTAAGAAAATCACATTTCCTCCCCCTAACTTCACGTTTCTTGTCTGAAAGGTGGAGTGGAATAATTGTAACTCTTTCTTAGGCTTGTTAGGGAAGACTAAATCAATGGCCTAATAAATCCATCCTAAATTAAAAATACTTATACTACACCTAATCTCCCAAACTACATCTTAGTAGCACAGCGCATTGTAGAGTGTCCATGGTTTCTCTCATTAATGCAGGGCTGATTGGTCCTGCTACTCCCCAATACCACTTAAGGTTATTGTACAGACTCTTGCTAACTTAGGAAAAGGTCAACCCCCAACTTAAAATGCCATTTCTACCAAATGCGTGTTGCTTTGGTATCATTTTCAACTGTAAGAAAGAGTACATCACATGTCAGGAATGATCTGCCCATGAAAAGACATCAAATCATGCACAGCACATAGTAAACAGGTGAAGAAACTTCAGCTACAATGGAAATGATGCTCTTCCTTAAATCTTTATCATTGGAAGAAACATCAGAATTGATTTTTGCAGCTAGAAGCCAAGGCTGGGTGCAAATGAGGGTATTCCCTTGCGCCCCATAATTTGTTACAAACAAATCACTGGAGCAGGTTATAAGATGTATAGGAATAGCGATTTCTTTCTCAGTGGCCCAGGTGTCAGAGCAATAAAGCTTCATAAAGGAGCAAAGTCCATAGTCTAGGACTGCTACTTTGGGCACACATTGCCGTATAAGAGAGAAGATGACATTGTAAAGTCCCAGGCAACTGGAAGAACAAGATCTTTCTGAGAGAGGCTGCAGAATGAGATGGAGAACAGAAGGGGGGAAGGGGGGAAGGAAAAGGACGAGGATGAGGACGTGGACGACGAGGACGACGAGGACAAGGATGTTGCAGTGGCTGCAGCTGCTTGGATTTAGCGGCAGACAGATCTGGATTTGAGTGTTTGCTGCACAGTACTGAATTAATTAGTCTCTTATTTTTCTCAACTTCAGCTACCTCATTTGTCAAATGGGGATAATAATGGCCAACAGGGATGTTGGGAAGAATAACTGAAATAATGTACATTAAATGCCAGGCAGTGTCTGGCACATAGAAAGTGCTTAATTCAAGACTTATCTGATTATCTATTTAGCCTTCTGAAATATTAGTTCAGTGCCTACTATCTGCCAGGTAACCTTTCAATCTCGCAGCTGTAATACATAACGAGCACGGCACAGCTAGGTTCTGCAACACATTTTCCAGTTGCAATAAGGCAGCTTGAGAAGCAGCCACATGTGGTCTGCTAAGGGCTTCTCACAGAGCCCAGGAGCTGGGACTTATAAATGCTTTCCTTATGGCACCTCAGAGAACTGCTCAATCAGCTCCAGATAACCAAGTAACAAGATTAGCCTGTCCATAAAAGTCACATAAACAAGGTACTTCTAATAGCAACTCCTCCCAGGCAAGATCCTGCTATAAAAAGATTTAAAGAAAGCAATTAGGGGACACCTGTCTGCTCATCCCTAGTGGAGCCCTGAAAGGCGGCAGGCAGAGCTAAGAGCCCAAGCACTGAGCAACGGAGATCATGAAGTTTCTGTCTGGGAGCAAAAAGGACAGGCACACACTGTGATACACACATGAGCACTCACATAGAAGCCAATGGCAGGCCCCAATTCTGTTTTGATCTCTTGGCCCAGCCGGCTCACCCTGTCACCTACTGCCTACTGTCTGGAAAGCCAGAGGACGGAGAAAGCGGAAGAGACAAAGAGTGCCATTAGCTGTTGTACAGAGTTATCAGGGCGTAAGTGCCTAGCTCCAGCAACACCTTTCTTCTGGCATTAGGGGAAGAATTCAGAGGCCCATGCAGATAGGAGCCCGGTTTCAGAAAAGGCACAGGACAAAGAATGGTTCATGCTTTCCTGATGGGGGCCAGATAGTGCTGTATACTTTAAAGGTCCACTGAGAAGCAATACCAGATTTTCTTAATGATAGGGATAAAACCTTGAATTCCATCTCCTGAGCACTTACTATGTGCCAAGTACCTATTTGTGTACTTTACATGCAATATCTTAGTAGTCAGAACCAGGTAGAGCAGGTACATTATCATGCCTGTTTTCCATGTAAGAAGACTGGGCATCAAGGCTAGGAGTAGAGGTGACATGCAATTCATGCCACTGGCTACCTTTTCTGAGACCCAATGTCTTTCCCAAATACTTACTTTGGGGTCACAGTAGCTTCCTGCTCAGTTGTCCTCCATAGTCCATGAGTGCCATGATAGCAAGGAGGTTGAGCTTTCTCAGGCTGCGCTCCAGTGTGGCCCCTTAGTGGAGGCACAAAATCACTGGGATGCAGAGCAAAGGCCTCTTGCTCTGGTAGACTCTGTGTAGCCTGCCTTGAGGTCTCCAGGTGGCCCAACTTCAGGGTCTGTGGCTGCTCCAGGCCCTCATCTAGATTTGGGGCACGGGAACCAGGGGTTTCTGAACTAAAATACTGGGGTGGTAGGTCCTCCTCCTTTACTCCCTCCTCCTGCTCCTGCTCCTTTTCCTCCTCCTCTATTCCCTCTTCTTCATCACACCTCTGTTGCTGCTGCTGCTGCTGCTGTTGCTGCTGCTGCTGCTGTTGCTGGGCCGCACGGAAAAGCCTATATTTTTCCCAGTTGGGAGGAGGAGGGCGAGGGGGAGGAAAAGCCTTCTTTCGGGCCCCAAGGAGTTCTGGCTGAGTCTCATTGCCTTTAGCAAACGGTTCCCTCTGAGGCTTTCCCCAGGCCCGGGTGTTTTGAGGCTCTAAGCTGATGTGACTCTCTGAGAAGGCTCGGCTTCGCAGTGGGCGTGGCATGGAGGCAACAGAACTCCCATCCTCATAAACGGAAGATTCCTCTGCTTTGTTCAATGCAAGTTTGAAGTCTCCCAGGAGGTCAAGAGAAGAGACTGCTCGGTAGTTTGACAAGTCCAGTGCTGGGTTCTCAAGGCAAGGATGGAAGGGAGTAGACCATGAAAAGCTGGCCTTAGAATGCACCATTTCCCTGAAAAACAGCAGACAAACATTGACCAAGACAGCATGTGGTGAATGGGCCTGTATTTTGGATGACAATTTCTGTAAAGTTAAAATGACTACAAAATTCTAATCTATGTAGAAAATATAATGTCCATGAGGATAAGGATGTAACAATGAAGACGACAAATACTGTTTTTTGTACATAAACTAAGTACTAAACACTAGTGCAGTGGTTCTTAATCTTCCCAATGCGACCCTTTAACACATGTGCTGACCCCAACCATAAAATTACTTGTTATTTTGTAATTGTAATGTTGCTACTATTATGGATCATAATCTAAATATCTAATATGTAGGATATCAAGTATAGGGACCCCCCAAAGGGGTTACAAACCAGAGGTTGAGAACCACAGCACTAGTGTATAATTTCAAGGCTTTCCATGTTCACGTTGATTTGCTCCCTACAGGAAACCTAGAATGTAGTTCTTACAGTTTGGGAAACTAAGACATAGCCAGGATAAGCAACTCTCAGGGTTATAAAGGTTATGTGGCAGAGCTAGGATTTGAACTCGAACTGTTTAGCCAAAGTCATGTCAGTCTGTTTATGGGACTCAGACTGGATAGACAATAATCTAAGCCTTATAATCCCGGTTTTCCTGTTTTACTTAATGATTCCTCTCCTTTTTACTATGAAAAGTTTCTAGTGCTTAGAAATATATAATGATTTCCATAATGAACACCCCCATTGCCACTTACTGCCCAGAATCAGCACAATTTAATACTTTACTATCAAAAGGTCATGAATTTTTCTTTTGGCTCACTCCTCACTTCCATTTTCCTACTGCTTGATGCAAAATAAGATTATAAGTGAAGCACATATAACATCCCTGTTCTTACATGTGTAATAAAATATTAAATAAGCTATTCACAAGTATCTGCCACATTTGGTTAAAAATATATGGAAAAACAAAAGACCCAGGATAGCCAAAACAACCCTGTACAATAAAGGAACTTCCAGAGGCATCGTCATCCCTGACTTCAAGCTCTATTATAGAGCTGTAGTCCTGAAAACAGCTTGGTACTGGCACAAAAATAGACAGGTAGACCAATGGAATCAAATTAAAAACCCTGACATTAACCCACACACACACCTACGAACACTTGATTTTTGAAAAGAAGCTAAAACTATACAATGGAAAAAAGAAAGCATCTCAAACAAATGGTGCTGGCATAACTGGATGCTGGCATGTAGAAGACTGCAGATAGATCCATGTCTATTGCCAGGCACACAACTTAAGTCCAAATGGATCAAAGACCTCAACATAAATCCAGCCACACTGAAACTCTTAGAAGAGAAAGTGAGAGGTACCCTTGAACGAATTGGTACAGAAGACCACTTCCTGAACATAACACCAGTGGCACAGACACTGAGATCAACAATTAATAAATGGGACCTCCTTAAACTGAGAAGCTTCTGTAAGGCAAAGGACACAGTCAACAAGACAAAAAGGCAGCCCACAGAATGGGAAAAGATATTCACTAACCCCACATCTGACAAGAGGGCTGATCTCCAAAATTTACAAAGAACTCAAGAAGCAAGTCTCCAATACACCAAAGGATCCAATCAAAAAACGGGGTACAGAACTAAATAGAGAATTCTCAATAGAGGAGACACTTAAGTGGCTGAGAGACACTTAAGAAAGTGCTCAACATCCTTAGCTGTTAGGGAAATGCAAATCAAAACAACCCTGAGATGCCATCTCAATCCTGTCAGAATAGCTAAAATCAAAAACTCTGACAGTTTATGCTGGAGAAGATGTGGAGAAAGGGGAACACTCCTCCACTGCTGGTGGGAGTGCCAACTTGTACAGTCACTTTGGAAATCAGTATGGAGATTCCTCAGGAAAATGGGAATCAGTCTACTACAAGACCCAGCAGTTCCACTCTTAGCCATATACCTAAAAGATGCGCATTCACACAATAAGGACATCTGTTCTACTATATTCACAGCAGCATTATTTGTAGTATTTAGAACCTGGATGCAACCTAGATGTCCCTCAACTGAAGAGTGGATAGAGAAAATGTGGTACATTTACACAATGGAGTACTGCTCAGTGGTAAAACAACAACAACAATGGAATCTTGAAATTGGCCGGCAAATGGATGGAACTACAGGAAACCATCCTGAGTGAGGTAACCCAGTCATAAAAGTCAAACATAGTATGTACACACTCATATATGAATTTCAGACATGGATCAGACGAGTGCCAGCCTACAATCCCACTGCCAGAGAGTCTGGGAAACAGGAAGGACCCTAAGAGAGATATGCATGGTACCCCAGAGAAGGGGAATGGGAAAAGATGTCCTGAGTGGATTGGGAGTATGGGGGGGAGAGGGAGCTGGGAAAAAGTGAGGGGGAGAAGAAGAGGGGAGAGGAGGACATGGGGGAGCAGGAAAATTGAGTCAGGGGAAGAATAGAGTAGAGCAGGATGAGAGATTGCATTAATAGAGGTAGTCATTATAGGTTTAAAGAGAAATCTGGTACTAGGAAAATGTTCAGAGAGCTACAAGGATGACCTCAACTGACAATCTAAGCAATAGTGGAGAGGCTACCTTGAATGCCCTCCCTGATAATGAGATTGATGACTACCTTGTATGCCATCCTAGAGCTTTCATCCAGTGGCTGATGGAAGCAAAGGCAGACACCCACAGCTAAACACTGAGCTGAACTCTTGGAAACCAGTTGCAGAGAGGGAGGAGTGATGAGAAAAGGGGTCAAGACCAGGCGGGTGAAACCCACAGAAACTGCTGACCTGAACAAGGGGGAGCTCATGATCCCCAGACTGATGACTGAGAGGCCAGTATGGGACTGATCCAGATCCCCTGAATGTGGGTATTTGTGAGGAGGCCTCGACAATCTTTGGGACCTCATGTACTAGATCATTATTTATCCCTGACATACAGATGGACTTTGGGAGCCCATTCCACATAGAGGGGACACTCTCTCAGCCTGGACACAGTGGGGAGGGCCTAGGCCCTGCCCCAGATGATATGACAGATTTTATCGATCCCCCATGAAGGACCTTACCCTCCCTAGAGAGTGGAGTGGGGATTGGGTTGGGGGTTGGTGTTGGTGGGGGGCGGGGGAGGAGGGGAGGGAGAGGGAGTTGGGATTGACATGTGAAGCAAGCTTTTTATAATTTAAGTAAAAATTTCCTTCTGATACATTACAACTTCAAATTTCAAAAAGAACCATTAAATTATAGGCTTTTCTGAAAAATAACTTTCAAAAGTAGAGTATTCTATTATCAAAAAATTGAGGATGGGGTAAAGAAAGATTAATAATATGAGCAAATATAAACTCAAATGAACTCACAGAGACAGAAGTGGTTTGCATAGGGCCTGGACAGTTCTGTTCCATTTCCTCTGTGCATGTATTGTGGCTTAGTTTTTTGAAATAGGGTTTCTCTGTGTAACAGTCCTGGCTGTCTATGGAATTCCCTTTGTAGACCTGACTGGCCTTGAACTCACAGAGATCTACCTGCTTCTGCCTCCCAAGTGCTGGGATTAAAGGTGTGTGCCACCACCTCCAGGCCCAATTTAGTTTTTACAGTATTCCTAAGTGTGAGAATGAGTGAGTCTCTGACTCTTGTGCCTTCTCTTGGGTTCTTTTCCTTCTGTTGTGTTTGTCATGTCCAACTTTTGATGTGATGGTTTTTGTTTTATCTTATTATATTTTATTTTTGTTATATTAAAATGAATGGATGAATGTAAATCTAGGCCCTAATAGATAAAGGCTAACAACTGAACTCTCACTTAATCCTACTGGGAGAGAAAAAAATCAGTTTTCTCCATAGAATGAAACTGGGTTTATCAACCACTCTAGGTCAGGCATCATGGTCATGGGCAGTTGGCCAACATGTATTGGACTCCACAATTCTGTTGTGTCTGTTGTGTGATTTTATTTGGATACAATTTGGGTTTTTTTGGGGGGGATGAGAGCATGGTTTTATTTTGTTTTCTTGTTTTTGAGGCATTTTGTTGTTGTATTGAATTTTTGCTTATTTGAGAAAGAACTTAAAAGTTGGTTGGACAGGGAGGAGAAGAGGATCTGGAAGGAGTTGGAGAAGAGGAAGGATATGATCAAAATATACTTAAAAAACTTAAAGCATCTTATGAAGGAACTGTAAGTACTTATGCTATGCTATGGATTGACATAATCAATCAGTAAATTTAGAAATAAGGTAGACTAGACAGGAGTGGTGACACACACCTTGAATCCCAGCACTCAGGAGGCAGAAGCAGGCAGATCTCTGTGTATTTGAGACCAGACTGGTTTACATAGTAAATTCCAGGATAGCCAGGGCAATATATACTAGAGCTATCCTGTCTCAAATAAAGGCAAGAAATAAGGTAGACTATAAAACATCATCTATATAAAACATTATAAAAACAAGGAGATAAAAATTGTTCAGTAAATCTCTTGAGACAACTTTCTATCAGTGATATGTATAAATATATATTATGTTATATATTTGTATAAATAAGAAAAATTTGAAATTTAGCATATGATTTCTCATAAGAAAAAGTAATATTCTTTAAGTTATAAAAGATAATCACCAAAGACAAAGTCCAGATTTATGTGAATATTTATAAAATGTCAAACTTCTACATGATAAGACTTATCAAAATTAAATGACATTTCTTCAGCTGATTATAAAGAGGTAAGCCCTTTATACTTATGATCTGGTTTCCTATGGTAGCCTGTGAGCAATCAACATCATGCTGAGTCCTGCCTACTGCCAAGAAATTCTAGGAGTTCAATTAGATCCACAGAGAGACTATGCATTCAACAGTCATGATGATGGCTGAGACTATTTCTTTAAAAAGAACAGGACACATAATGCTAACCCAGCTTAGATAAAATGGAAACAAAACATCATTCTTCTCATCACTAGTTCCCACATGAATCAGAAATTCATAACCACACATCTTCTCTTTTCTCATTTGGGTCTTAGCTTACCTGTA